ACATTTCAAATGTTTCTCCCCTGTATGATACATGATGTATAAGGTTAGACCTAATACTGAAATCTTTTCCAAAATCTGGATACTTTTACGGTTTTTCTCCTGCATGCGTCCTCTGGTGTTTTACAAGCAGAGAAGTGTAACAGAAACTTTTCCCACACTCTCGACACTCATGCAGTTTCTCTCCTGTGTGAGTCCTCTGGTGTATCACCAGGCTGGAATTCTGACTGAAGCTTTTTCCACAACCAGGACATTCAAAGGGTTTCTCTCCCGTGTGAGTCCTCTGGTGTATCACCAGGAGGGAATTTGCAACGAAACTTTCCCCACAAAGTGGACACGTAAACGGTTTCTCTCCTGTATGAGTCCTCTGGTGTATCACCAGGAGGGAATTCTTAGTGAACCTTTTCCCACAATCAGGACATTCAAAGAGTTTCTCTCCTGTGTGAGTCCTCTGGTGTATCACCAGGTTGGAATTCTGACTGAAACATTTCCCACATTCAGGACATTCAAAGGGTTTCTCGCCTGTGTGAGTTCTCTGGTGTCTCACCAGGTGGGAATTTACAATAAAATTTTTCCCACAAAGTGGACACTTATATGGTTTCTCTCCTGTGTGAGTCCTCTGGTGTATCACCAGATTGGAATTATGACTGAAACTTTTCCCACATTCAGGACATTCAAAGTGTTTCTCACCTGTGTGAGTTCTCTGGTGTGTCAGAAGACTGAAATTTTGAGTAAAATGTTTCCCATAAACAGGACATTCAAAGGGTTTCTCTCCTGTGTGAATCCTCTGGTGGATTACCAGGTGGGAATTCTGACTGAAACGTTTCCCACAATCAGGACATTCAAAGGGTTTCTCTCCTGTATGAGTCCTCTGATGTTTCACCAGGTGGGAATTCTGACTGAAACGTTTCCCACAATCAGGACATTCAAAGGGTTTCTCTCCTGTGTGAGTCCTCTGGTGGTTCACCAGGCTGGAATTCTGACTGAAACTTTTCCCACACTGTGGACACTGAAACGGTTTCTCTCCTGTGTGAGTCATCTGGTGTCTCACCAGGTGGGAATATACAATGAAACTTTTCCCACAAAGTGGACACTCATACGGTTTCTCTCCTATGTGAATCTTCTGGTGGTTTACCAGGTGACAACCTTTCTTGAAACCTTTCCCACAATCAGGACATTCAAAGGGTTTCTCTCCTGTGTGAATCCTCTGGTGGTTTACCAGGTGACAACCTTTCTTGAAACCTTTCCCACAATCAGGACATTCAAAGGGTTTCTCTCCTGTGTGAATCCTCTGATGTGTCACCAGGTGGGAATTCTGATTGAAACATTTCCCACAATCCAAACATTCAAAGGGTTTCTCTCCTGTGTGAGTCCTCTGGTGTACTACCAGTTTGGAACTGCAACTGAAACCTTTCCCACACTCAGGACATTCAAAGTGTTTCTCTCTGGTGTGAGTTTTCTGGTGTATCACCAGGCTGGAATTCCGAGTGAAAGATTTCCCACAATCCGAACATTCAAAGGGTTTCTCTCCGGTGTGAGACATCTGGTGTTTCACCAGGTAGTAATTTACAGCGAAACGTTTCTCACAAACTGGACACGCATATGGTTTCTCTCCTGTGTGAATTACTTTGCTTGGTAAAGCATTTACTACATTGGGAGTACTTATAGGGCATCTGTTCTGTGTGGGTCCTTTTATAAACCAGAAGGGAAATATTCTGACCAAAGATTTTGTTACATTAGTAGCATTTGTATGCCTTTTTTCCAGTTTGGATCCTCTTGTATGTAATCACCTATGCTTTTGCAATTTGTGCTTTATACCACAATAGTGACATCTGTGGACCTTTTCTACCACTGATATTCTGGAGGAAGTAAAAAATGTGTGTGGTCCCTTGTTTAGTGGTGCTTTGATTTCACCTACTGTTTTCTTCCTCCCATTGGAGTTCTGCATTACTGTCTGCCCTATTTGAGTATCCAATTGACCTTTTCTTCCCCACTGACTTCCAGATACTTCCCCCTTTTTCTGAACGAAAAAATGATCCCCTTCACCTTGTCATGTAACGTATTCTTCTGTTCTGCATACTCTACTATTTCCAGCTTGAAATTTCTTCTTAATTTTCTCTTGCCTTTCGCCTGCTGGGAGAATTGTGTAATTTTCTGAAGGAAATGGAAAATATTTGGATTTCTGGCTTGATTTGCTTTCCTTTTCAAAAGTTATTCTCACTTCTCCAGAGTGCTCTTATTGCCATCCTCTTTGTCTACAAGATTCAAAGAAAAGTGTAAGTTTAATTGTTTATACAATGCTTGCAGATGTGAAAAAAAGGAAAAAATATACATTACATTTAAAAAGCAAACATACCACAATGCTAACCTCTTACAATAATTATGATTCATCGGACATTCCAGAGATCCAACTTCAAATATCCGTTCAATCATGAAATTCCCCATTGGCCCCATTGGCCAAGCCCACTTGGACGCCACTCGGGTCTCCCTCACCCGCCTTCCAGACGCCCCTGGCCTCCTCTTAGCAGGGTCCCCGCCCTCGCCTCCAGCCACGCTCCCTCTGAGCCCAGAGCTGCCCCGTCCTCTTCCCCTTCCTCCCCTCCAGGCACTGGGAGGCTGATCCTCCCCAGCAGCCACAGGGGAACGTGGGGACGGCGGTGCCCAACCTTCCAGGAAACGCCAGGAGCCCCCACGGTGGGAGCCGGGCTGCGCCAAGAGGAGGGGCTGCGGGGCAGGAGGGGGGCTGTTCCTCTGCAGGTCTTAAGCGAGTCGCTCTGGGTCGTTGAAGGCAATTTCACGTGACTGCGACTTGCAACCTGTTGCCAGCCTCTCCAGGGATTTTGCTTAGGAGAAGCTGGCTGGGAAAGGCAGAAACGGGGATCACGAGGGTGGGATGCTGCGACCGTCACGGATGTACAGCGGTTGGCAACGTCCAAACCGAGCAGCCCGACTTGCTCCCAGCTTCTCCTTTGACCCGCCCTCGACTCATTTTCCAGCTGTTGCTTCGATCCTGGGAAGAGCACAAAAGGCTCTCCGCACCCCTCCTTCCTCCCCTGAGCGATCCGGAAGAGGAAGTTGCAACCATCGAGTACTGCATTGCTAGAAAGGATGGGAGGCGAGGAGAAGATCAGAGCAACTGAACCAGAACCCACCCCCTTGATCTCAGGAAGGGTTAGGTCAGTGGTTCTCAACCTTTTTAATGCCGCGACCCCCCAACCGGTCGTAAGTCGAGGACTAAACCGGTTGTAAGTCGAGGACTACCCTACCGGTCGTAAGTCGAGGACTTTGCCTGCCCGGGAGCGCCGTGCATGCGTGGTTCCGCCCATTGCGCCGGCCGAGGCGTAGCTGGCAAGCGGCAGAGACGGAGCAGGCCGACCACCAGCTGGCCCAGCCCAAGGGAGGTAAGGCACCCGCCGGAAAAGGGAAAAAAATGGTGGACAGCCTTGCTTGGCGACCCCCCGTGAAATGGTCGATCGACCCCAAATGGGGTCGCGACCCATAGGTTGAGAACCGCTGGGTTAGGTAAATTAGAAGAGGAATTAAAAGAGGTCAAAGAATTGATGGGGAAAAGTGAACAAAGACTGCAACAAGTAGAAGGGAAAATTGAATTAATGGATAAGAGAGTAGAGGAGATGGACAGTTGACTGACATTAACAGATAGGAACCAGGAAAAAACGATTATCTCTCTAGAGATGGATAGAGCTGATTATTACTTAAGATTCCAAAATGTTGAAGAAGAAAAGGGAGAGAATTTAGCAGACGTGATGGCGGAAATATTAGCAGAAGCACTGGTGGAAAACAAGGAAAATATAATTAATGATATAGATATCTAGAATACATACTAGATATGCAACGAGAAATAAGCTTCCCAGAGAGGTCCATAGAAGGTTTACTAAAAAAGCACTAAGGGCAGATATATTACAGAAACTGAGAAATGTCACAATAAAATATAAAGGAAGAGAGATAGTGATATTAAAGCAGATTCCAAGAAGAGTGAGAGACTTGAGAAAGGAGTATCAATTTTTGGCAAAAGTCTTAATTGAAAAAGGGATAAATTTTAGATGGTTAATACCAGAAGGAGTAATGGTAAACTGGCAAGAACAGAGACACAGACTAGACACATTAGAGAAAGCAGAGCTTTTTTTATGATCACTACTTTGGACACCAAGAAGAAGAAAGGCTGAGAGGGGAAAGAGGAATTAGACATCAAGGAGATCAGATAGAGCAGGGGTCGGCAACCTGAAAAAGTGAAAGAGCCACTTTGACCCGTTTCCCTCAGAAAAGAAAAAACTTGGAGCCGCAAAGTGTGCGTGCGTGCGCAGGCGCAGAACAGGGAACTTGATTGAAGAGGCTGGATCAGCTTCATTTTCTTCCCTCCGAGGCCAGAACCCCCCAACGCTCCTCCCCGGTTCTGATCCAGAACCCCGAAACGGTCCCTTCCAGCGAGTTGCCAAGCCTCCCCTCCCTCCTCCTTCCCTGGCAGCTACTGTATTTAAATTTGCTTTTTCTTGGGTGGCTACAGAGCTTCCTTCGTTTTCTTTCCTTCCTATCCCTCTTCTCCCCCCCTTCCCCCGCCTTCCCTTCAATGCCCTTGCGCTGCGGTGTATTCTCCTCCCCCATACATGTTAAATTTTTTAAGTATGGGCAGCTCTGCCATCCTGGCTTCTCCCCTCGGAGGAGACTGCTCTCCCCCCACGCCGCGCTCTCCCTCTCTGGGACTTTCTTCTTTCTGCCTTTTGGCGCGAAGGTTCCCAGGGAGCGGAGGAGGAGGCTGACGGCGAGAAAGAGCTGCTGCGGCAAATCTTCCAAGGCGGCAGTAGACGGCCGCTCGGGCTCACCTATCAGCCTGCTGCGGGAGGCCGGAGTTCTGTCTCCGGAGGAAGGCAAAGGGACGCAGCTGCCCGTTCGCCACCCCAGCTGAGATTGCTGCCCGGCCTGGCGAGACACGTGGCCAGCTTGGCTTCCCAGGGAGCGATGCCCCCACCAGCCGCCGCCCCAGCCATGACTGCCGCCCAGCCTGGCCTGGGGAGACACGTAGCCAGCTCGGCTGCCCAGGGACAGCCCAGGGAGCGATGCCCCCACCAGCCGCCACCCCCGCCAGGACTGCCACCTGGACCGGCTCGGGGAGACGCGTGCCGGCTTGGCTGCCCAGGGAGCGATGCTGGCGCCGGCCACTGCCCCAACCTGGACTACTGTCCAGGGGGCAGCAGGAGGAAGAAGGGGAGGAGGAGGGCGAGAAAGCTGCCGCCGCCGGGACTCCACGCTGCCCGGCCTCGCCCGCCGCCCATCCGATGTAGCCGCAGGCCGCGGCGGGGGCTGGTGCCACGCGGGCCGCTGGCCCTGGCCACAATGCTGCAGCTGCTCTGCCTGACCAGCCCCTCCGCC